GGCACAAACAAGATTGAGGGGGCCATGGAGTCTTGCATCACAATTCTGAGAGCTGCTGAGGTCAGACTATGTGTGGTGGGGTCAGAGTGACTACAGAAAAGTCCTGAGAGGCCATTGTATGAATCTGCATATGTAAAGCCCAAGTTGTGGTAGAAACCTCAGTATGTTGTAAGTGCTAGAACCATGGTACATCCACTGAGGAAAGCTGCAGGCACAAAATGGAGTTGATCCAAGAGAGAGGCTATGTCTGCTGCAGGTAGCAGAGCTGGAGGGATGGTGATATTCAATTACTTTTGAGCCCACGTGATTCTATCATGAACCCCAGATGCTGGACATCAGCTATAGGATTTGTTTGGTGTTTGCTTTGCTGGACTGGTCTCTTGCTTTGGTCTGATCATTCCTTTCTATGCCCCCATTCTTCCCTTTTGGAATGAAAGTGTTTATCCTGTAATCATTGTATGCAACAATCAATTGCTGAGTTTTTAGGAATTTCACAAGTTGGTGTTAAACATGGTCAGTATTAAAAAAAAAATTAAATTGAAGTGCAGTATATGCCTGTAGTCTCATCTGCCAGGGAAGCTAAGGCAAGAGGATAGCTTGAGCCTAGGAATTTGAGACCAATCTGGGCAATACAGGGAAATCTCATCTCAAAAATAGAAGTAAAAATTAAATAGATAATAATTGAATACAGGAGGTTAAAATCAAAGGCAATAAGTATCCAAAATAGGGCTGAGGCTGTAGTATTTGCCTAGTATATAGGAAAGCCTAGGTCAAACCCCAGTATGGAAAAAAGTACCCAAAGTAATCATTTCCTAACGTTATTATGCTCTTGAGATTACTTATGCCTGTTGCATCTATGTGGTAAAAGTACTGCATAAAGTTATGCTACTCTGCATTTTCTTACCAACTCTGCATTTAGAGAAATTATGAAGGCAGGTGGGAGTACTTCTATTGTGGAGGTGGAACGCTTTTGCAATGCGATGGCAATTAAGAACTTTGCAACAGGAAAACTCTTAAGAGACAGGTATGGGGGAGGTGAGCAGGAGTCTACCATCTTGCCCCTGTGGGTGCCCAGGATGGAAGTCTTGTTTTCCAAAGTGTTCACATTCCCATAGCCTTTGTGGCCTGTGTTACCTTGCTTAATTATCACATGTACCTTTTACTTAATTGTCACCTATGTGCTGTTTTGCCTTTTGTTTGCATTTCCCTACACGAGTATAAAAGCCCCCAAAACATGAACATGAGGTCTGACTCCTTTATTCATGGTGTCAGTCCTGCTAGCATCAAATTAAACTTCCTCTCCTCACCTGACTTCGGCTGTTGGTCTCTGATTTTTCCTTACCATTTCTGGAGGCCCCAGTGAGAACAAGTTGGCATACCCTTGTTGGTAATAGAGGCTGCCGCTCCTGGACCCTGCAGCCCCCTCGGCCTCTGGAATAGAGATGTGCACACCCCCAAAGAATTTCTACTTGGGGTCTCCTTCCAGGAGGCCAGAGAGAGCTGCATAGTCCCGGACTGGAGCCTCTCATCAGGTGAAGCGAGACGGAGACCCAGAAGGGACGTCCAGGCCAGGTAATGGGCCCCAGGTTAGACAGGTGGAAGCCAGTGGGGGCTGATACCCTACAGGAGGTTGCATATAAAGTCTTGATGTGATTCAAAGATGGCACTGGCCTCCAGTCAGGAATGTAGGGAACCACAAGTAAACCTTGAGTTGATTCCAAGGTGCTGGCACCATTTAAGGTCAAACAGAAATCAGGAATCAGGCAGCAAACTGGGCCATAACTAAACCTTGATGTGATTCCAAGGTCCTGGTCCCATTTTAGGCAGAACAGGAATTTAGTGGGAATAACTAGGGAACTGTCTTAAACTCTGTGTGTGAATGTGAGAGTGAAAGTAATGGTTCCAAGGGGTTCTGCGAGGCCATGGAATTTGATTGGGCCTCACCCTACAGTCCCGCCGAAGTTGTGTAACCTAAATGGGCACTCACCTTTGGGTGTGGCCCTAAGACCTCTTAAGTCACTGAGAGGTGGCTGGCCAGGAAGGCATCTGAATGAGGGAGACTAACACTCTCCACCCCTCCTATGCACACATTACATACATCCCAGGCACATATAAAATTTCATATGGGTTCCTCCCAGTCCAAGTGTCAGACCCACACTGTCCTCCAGGTGATGCAGGACAACCTTAGACTAAGCTATGCAGGAAATTATGGCATTAAGATAAAACTCTCCAAATTAAAACTTTCTGTGAAGTCCAGTGACTTGAAATCAGGCCATGCTGGATAAGAATCCCTCAGTCTGGATGGAGGCTACCTGAATCCTAAAACCCAGCCTCATACTTACCAGAAGACGGGAGAACGTCCCCATAACTATGAGATTATGAAGGAAGTGTTCTCCGATCCACCTTTAAAGGATGAGTGCCTTACACACAAAGGACCATCCTAATCAAACTCCTTGATTTTTGCTTTTTGGGTGCACCTAGTTTGCGTGGAATTATGTCATATGTGTCTATGATTAATTGTTTTCCATGTGTTTGGGATTTCATGCAATTATGTCATGTATGTCTATAAGTTTTCTTGTGTGTTGCGATCTCAAGTAATTCTGTCATGTGTGTCTGTGATCACTGTCTTCATGTTTCCATCAAAACAAACTGCAGAGGCCAGCACATCCTACATATAGGGCCTCCCATGGTTCTACAAACCGTTTGTAAACATTTATTCACACAATACTTTTTCATAATGGCAAATTTAAAATAGATACTTGATTTGAGTTCAAGTGTTTGTGTTTTGTTAAAAAAAAATAGAAACTGTAACCGAATGCCAGAGTTTAAAGATTGTATGAGTCTACGCAGACGAGAGCTAGTATACCCAAAGGATTTGAATGAAGCGTTTAATAAAGAAAATGTGTGGGGATGGAGAGATGGCTCAGTGGTTAAGAGCACCCCTCCTCTGACCTCCATAGGCATTGTATGACATGTGTGCACTTACACACATGCAGACAATACACTCATACACTTAAAATTTTAAAAAATAATACATAAAAGATTTTTTTAAAAATAAAAGGAGCATTTACAGAGGTGTGGGCAGGGTTACCATGTCACCAGGGATCATGATGTACCTGAGAACTGGGAACAGCATGGAATCATTGCTACCTCCATTCTGCATGGGCAAGGGAGAGAAGGGATTAATCAGAACCTGTAAAAATAGGAACTGTGAAAGAGAGGTTGTCCAACGGAACCTGTGGCCAGAATGGAAACCTCAGCAAGACAGGAGGGAGCAGCAGGAAGAGCCTGTCAGTTTCTCTCTCTTTGGTGGCTCCTTGTGGCCATCACAGCCGTAAGCCAAGGTCCCAACCTTGGGGAAAAAGTAGACGCCTGTCAATTTCCAGGAGCTGTTAATGTCAAACACTGGTTCATGTTTTCAGAGTAGATATTGAAACTGGTTTTGAACAATTTTTTGAAATTCTCCCAGTGGCTGGATCCTAATATTTCTCACTTGTTGACTAGCCTTGGAACCTGGCTTTAAAACAGAATGAGCCTGAGTATAAAATTTCTGCCAGCTTTTAAAGAAAGGCTTGCAGCACCATGCTATTGTATTATATCAACTGAGTGATCAGATTTTTCAGGGCAAGCATTCAGTCAGGGTGATAGGAACTTGGGGCCATTTTTAAGCAACTCGAGTTGTGCTTGTTAAGGCCTTCAAGAACTTAAAATTCTGGTGTTTACTTGGAGCTTTCAAAGAAAATTACCCAAGACAATTGTCTCAGAGTTCTTATGGGGATAATGAGGCAGAAAGTGTAAAGGAGCCCTCCTTGTTTGCCAGATGTGCCCAATAGAAATTGACCTAGAATCGACCAGGCTATTAACAACTTGGTACACCATTCTGGTGGACTTTTGTTAGAGCTCTTTCTGGTTCATTTAGGGAATCTGTATTAGACATTGTGGTAGCTTGTTTTAAGTTGAGACTTATAAAACTATAGCTAGTAGGCAATTCATAACTTGTAAAATCCTTGTTTTCATATGGTTGAACATAGTAAACATATCATGGACAGGCTCCATCCTCAGTTCTCAATGCTGTACTTTAAATCCTAGTCCACAAGATGTTTTAAATTCTAAATGGAAATGCATACTCTGCCACTAAAAATTCATAAATTTTATGGGATGAAATGCTCAGAAGCATTTTTGTAGACAATCCTAACAATACACAAATGGGTTCCTGGTATTGCTCCTCAACATGCCCTAGAGAAATGCACGTCAGGGCTTAGAGTCTGCTGATAGGCAAGGGGTAATAGGACATAGTTAAGATTTGAATATTGCATTAAGCCCGGGTCTTCAGGAACTTGGGGGCTTGGCTTTGGCATCCCTTCCCCAGATTTTGTGAAAGTGTGGTTTCTCGTCTTGCCGAGTCTGCAAACATACCAGCAGAGCCCTGCTGGGCACTGTTCATGGGAGTTTTATCAGAGGTTGTAAAGACACACAAATGCACAGGCTTGTAGAATGCCCAAACTGCTTGGGCTCAGTTCCATTCTGTCTCTGCCTTTGCACCCGTCACAAGCCTTTGGAGCTTTGATCACCTCCAGAATGTTACAGACACTTAGCACAGCTTTGCATGTGCTTCAAAAAGGACATGGCCATCCTCACACTATATCAAGGAGCCTGAGGCTCGATGATAATGTTGTATAAATATCCACCCTATTGTTTTCACATGGAAATTAAGTTACTTCTCTTTGTCCTGATTGCAAAAGCAAAGATAGGATGATCTGAGAATATGAATTTATTCAGCATTTTGCTTTAGCACAGTTAATGTGTAATGTGTTCCAGATTTAACACCAGTAGCTATTCTGTTAAAAAAAAAACAAACAAAAAAAAACCTGTTGCAGAATGATTTGCCAACATAGTGGCAATGTCTATGCTAATGAGATGAATAATTGAAAAAGAACACAGCAAAACAAACAAAAGACAACCAGACTGTCATTTATTATTAATACAAATTTATATAGTGGCATATGCTATCGGAGAAATCAGAAATTCCTAACACACAGATTCATACTGGAAATACAAAAAATCATTTAAGGGTCAAGAACTCAGGTTGACAGCACCACAAATGTTTTCCTCGGTCTGAGCAGGTGAGTAATACCCAAGAATAACAAACACCTATGGGAGACTGAGGGAATATCGAAAAGATTGTGCAAGTGCTTTCCCACACGATTTCCCATCCAACAACAGGAACCTGCAGGAGGCCCGGGTGCAATAAAAGGGAAGCAAGGCAGGAAGCGGTGCAGACCATTATTTCTTTTAACCTTCATAGCCTGCGGATGGCAGCAAGTAGCAACCCCTGAGGGTTTTTTGTTCCTTCTCACCTGAAGGGCTAATATAAAAGGTTAGTAAAACACACACAAGGCATTAGTGACTAAGAGCAGAGCTTTCATTGAAATAGAATCCACATTAGTCATCCAATTATCCGATCCCAAAGACAAAGTAGAAACGCAAATGCAATGAACAATTTTACATCAAAGGGGCAAATCTCAACTGCACAGCTCTTAACACTTCTCACTCAAGAAGCGGAATCCAGTAGAGAAGTACTGGCTTTTAATAATGTGTCGAGTGGGGTGAGGGGCACAGAGAGGGGCAGGAATCCTTCAAGGGCTTTTCTCTTACATACAGTCCACCATGTCCAGGTCCTCACAGGCCTTTGTTACTTTGTGCACAGAGGCCCCTGGGTTCAGTCTCCCTCCCCATATCTGTCTGCATGCCTCATGTGTATATGTCCTACTTCGTGTAAAGGAAGGTGTGTGGAAACTGCACATCTGAGCGCATGGAAAATTGCTGCTCTAATGTGCGAGCATCCTGGCAGTGGGAGAAGTGACCAGTAACAGGCCAAGTGGGGAGCTGCCCTCAGATGATCAGCTCCCTGTCCTTGCAGACTTAGCACTCACCTGCTAGGTTGTTCTGAAGGATTCAGTGCCTGGGTCATCAGCTTTACCACACGGGATGGATACCAATTCCAGACGTCCTGAGGCCATTACAGAATTTCTGCCCTGAATTACGCAAGTTGTTCTAAAGTAGGACCTGACCAGCCAGGAGTTTCTGGGCTTTACCCCAACCTACCCCTCCTGACAACATATGCCTCTCAGAAATTAGACTTTCCTCTAAATCTCCTGCTCTTGATGCCAATACACAGTCTTGCCTCCTGCTCATATATTACAACTTTTCTGTTTGTGCTTCCCCAGGAATCACTGCCAGCCATGCCTGCCCAGAACTGGTTGTTTGGTGACAACTGGAGGACTATTTCACAGTCCCAAGTAGAACAGAGAATTTCTACCTGCCCTTGTGATAATGTCACCACTCTGTCTCCCCCCCTCTTCCTGCATTTACTCCCCTGTCACTCATCCAGCACACCATCCATTCATTCACTCAACGCAGATTTCTGGAGTGCTGTAATGAGCAAGGCACTGCTGAAGAACGAAGAGCTATAGCCCACACAGACCCTCCTCCCAGCGGTGGACTCTGCAGTGTTGCCTACAGCATTTCATGGTTCATTCTTTCTTGATTTTAGTACCAGCTTGGAATGTTCTCAAAGAGTGTGGATCATTCTCGCGATCCACTGCAGATCACAAGATCTGCGTAGTAACGCAGATGCTCTGTTATTCGCTCAGTGATAGGGTGTGCCATGCATCAGGCGAATATCATTTACTCCTGAATAATTGAATTGTGCCTCCAGTTAAAAACATGATGCACATGCTTATGGTTTTGTCAGTAAGGTAGAAACGAAAGGCAAGTTGTCTGCACACTATACACAGAATATTTAAGCTGATATTTGAACACTAAATTATTTAAAAGCCACATACTGATGGCCTTGTCATGTGCTGATATGGTAAAAAATAAGTGCTTGAGCTACCAGAAAAGAACCCCCAAAGAGAAATCCCTGAAATACTGACTAGGGACAGTGCTTCCCTCTGTTGTTACGACACACAAGAAGGACCCATGTGCATCTGTTAACTCTGGTTTCCCTCCAACCTTTGCTTTATTCAAATGAATCACTTAAGTTTCTGGAAACATTACAAAATTAAAAACCCAAAGCACATGGGCTCATACTGCTGCATCAGACAAGCCTGGGGTAGCAGGAAAGCATAGCTGATTTTTCAAAGCATTCCTGGCATTCCAAGGCCATGGGACTATGCAGCCTTCTTCATTGCCCTGCCCTGAGTCCTCCAAGCTTTCTAAGTTCCTGTAGAGATGTACCGAGTCTAGGCTAAAGCATATCAAGACCCCCAGTTGAAAAGGGCCCTGAAGAGCCAAGGGTACGTAGAAGTTTGGGTGCATAGGCCACCAAGTGGAAACAATGCACAAATGTCTAATTTATGCTGATAAGGAATTTTAGTGGAATCTGCATCAGCAATTTGTATCCTGCTGTCTAGACGTCCAGAAGCCCTCACAGGACAAAGCTGGTGGTGGAGGAGACTGAAGTCTCCACGCTCCTTTCACTCTCTCAGAGATCTGCTACCCATCACGCCTAGGCCTCTGAATTCTATCAGCTAAGCTAAATTTCCAGTGTCTTTCCTGATTCTAAAACACTTGCTTTCCTATGGTGACCCTTACAGAGGAGCTCTGTGTAGCCAGTGACACTGTTAAAGGGACCCACAGGCATAACTCTACTCTGATACTCTGGGCGTATCAGTGGTTCTGTTTCATGAGGTAGCTCAGTTGTGAGTTGATGCATGTGATGTGTGCTGTCTGACACTCAAAGCTATAGATTTCCCTTTTTTAATTCTGCAAGATTATAAAAATATTGGTATTTATTCCCGTTTTATAAAAATGATTTTAGAAAAAAAATACACATGGGTCTCCTCATTAAACTTCTGTTCCATCTTGTAAATTGTTGTGGACTCTAACTTCCAGATTCAATTTTTTGACTTTAGCACCTTTGAACATATAAGACCCCTCGCTGTCACTCAGTATGTTGATGTTGTGCACGGTGCAGTACTGTCTGTTCACATTCTTCTCCACCCTGTCTAGGCTCCTCTTGGCTATTTCCACCTTAGTATTCAGAGGGTATTCCTCTAGAGTGTCCTCCGTGGGCTGTTTCTTCCTCTGCTTCTGGCATTTCCTGCTGACGAAACAGGCCACCAGAAATACCAGGAGGAGGAGCATAATAGCAGCCAGGGCACTGCCAATTGATGCTCCAGTTTGGGACAGGGAAGCAGCTACAATGGGCTCCTGCATCTCCAGATTCAGGGACTTCATATTGGTGCCATTCTTGACTTGGTCCCCTTCATTGTCATAGATGAGGGAGTCATCAAGAGTCAGCCAGCCACTGGGATCCACCAGGTCCCTTCGGTGTCGCCTCAGAGAGGCAGTGAGAGATCGCTGGACCCGGGGCCCTGAGATGGTGTCAGGGCCAATGATGTAGATCACCTGGAGATACCATTGGTGTCCTGTTTCCACCTGGGGGGGGAGGCGGGGAGCAAACCATATGTTATCCATAGAGCATCTCAGAAGAAAGGAAATGGAAAGACAGCTGTCACCATGTGCTGCGACAGAGAAATGCTTTCACTTCAAATACTAGCAACATTCCAAGACACAGACACTGAACCTAAGATTGTGGGTTTTGTTTTATTTCCAAATTAGGGCAATCTTAAGTAACCTAGTCAATTTTATTTCCCTATCTAGGCATGTAATAGTCTAAGGATTTATTTTCATGGTCTCTTCAGCTAAGTGAATCATTATTATTAGTCTTTAATAATTGCAGTGACAATAGTAATACTGCATTTATTCTCTGTGCTCTGAAACTTTATCATGCTAATTTACTATTTATTGATGAGCTTCAGTTAAAATGGATTCATTTAACAAATTTTTCATTAAACAACTCTGAGCATAATATGCAGATTCTTGACAAAAACTTTGTTGAACTTGAACACTTCCTGGATCAAGAGGTTAGACAATCAGCTATTCTGTGTCCTTCTCATTTGTCCACCTGGGAACATGCTATGATTTTGAAATAACTTCAGAAAAGCAGTAATAGTTCTGAAAGCCAAGGCATGGATATTTTGAGACAGAAGAAAATGCAAAATTTGATCTTTGGAAGTCCATATTTGTTGCTAGAACTTTTTTTTTTTCTTGTCTGAGACTAGTAGTTCTTGTCCCTCTGACCTGTTCACTGTATTTGTGACTTTGTTCAGTGTTTCCCACATGCCTATGAAATCAGCTGGTTCAGCAGACAGCCTCACAGGTAGCAATTCAAAGAGCTTAGGGAAAACCAGAGCATCACATGGAATTCTGATAGACAATGACAGATGCCCAAATGCAAATCAAAGAATTTTATCCTTGCTTTTGTCTACTGAAGATAGAGAAATTTTGGGGAGTGAATGACAACAGGTTTAATAACAATGAAAAAGGCCTCTCAGCAAGAAGGTTATCAAGAGAAACTGACAGGCATGGCATGATGCAGCTCTGCTTTTTACCAGCTTTCAGGTGGACTTGGCTCTAAGCTTCTGTTCGTTCCACCAAACTTACCTTATAGAGAGCATCCACTTTCAGAGTAAATCCATCCACACCTGGCATGCTACTGACCACATGGAAATCCGGCAACTCAGAAGCAAAGTGGGCCTCGAAAGGCACATCGTGGAAGTATTTATCAGTGACTTCTGGCTGGCTGCGGTCCTAGAGTTTCAGAAAGAAAAAGCACAGCATTTGAAAGGCAGTGTCTGGAAGAGAAGGGTGCTCTTTCCTCCTGCTACTGGTTGGTGAGGAGAGTGAGTACCATGGAAGGCTTTCCCCCAAGTCATTGCTGCCTCTGGGCACCCACTGACTTCTCTAAGGGAGGGTTCTGGTGGGTTCTGTGATCCCAAATACAAAGGGTGGATGGTCTCAGGTGTGTCAGCCTGTTTCCCACAGGTCACATGCAGCTCAAGACAGCTATGAATTTAGCCAATACAAAATTGTAAACTTTCCTAAATAAGATTTGTGTGTGTGTGTGTGTGTGTGAGAGAGAGAGAGAGAGATGTAGTCACGTGTGGGGGAGGGGTTAGCTCACCTGTATATGTATA